CATCCTGTGAAAATTTTCTATTAAATTAAAAAAACCACTAGTTTAAGGGACTGGTTGATTAGACAAAAAAATACTCTCAATTTAATAGAGATTTCTCAAAGAAGAACCAAAATAATTGATGGTGGACAATCTCAAAGACGACTTCTATTGATTTTAAATCTTAGAAAACAAAGTGTAAAATTATGCTAATTTTAGAGACTATTTTGAAAAGATTTCCTGTGATTTTAAATACACACACCAAATACACCAGCCTAGATAATTGGGGATACACGTCACAAGCTAGCAATTTACCTCCTTCCGGGAAGATGTTGGTCTTTATGTTTATTCAATGCAATTCTTGTATTATACCAATTTACGTATTCAAAAAAAGTATATTTAGTTTTCTGTGTACACTCTTCCACCCATTCTTTTTGTTCTCCATTCCTTTATTTCCAAAATAATAATAATAATAATAATTAACCACTAAAGTTAACCCAAAAATTTCCCTCCCTCTTAAATTCTTGGCCTTAAACCATCTTTTAAGGAAATGTCAAATTATAACAATCAAATTATAATTGATGGACTGCCTAATTTTGTGTTTCTCCAACTAAATTGTCAAATATTATTTTCTTATTAATGTAGAACTTTAAACGGTTGTATTTAATAAAAAAGAGTTGAAACAAAATTTTTAATGGCTGAAACGTTAGAGCACCTCCATAGGAGATGTCAAATTTTAAACATAGAATTTAAATTTGAAAGATTATGTGGCAGTTTGATCATTTTAAATTTTTTTTTCTCCACCTAGTATGTCATATTTAAACTATTATTCATTACATTATTTACTTTTCATAATTGTAATATGTATTTTTAGAACAAAAAATAATAATAAGAAAAATGATAAAAAAAACACTTATAAATCACTAAAAATAGATTTGAAGTTACTATCTGTCAATCCTTTATGCTACATAGGAATTGACATTTCGGTTGGAGTACACACTAATGTTGTATTTTTTTACTATTATTGACACACCCTGACCTCAATCAAGGCATGCTGGCCGTCACGTGAGGGTGACGTAACCATGTGCGCTGTGCGGAAGTAGTAACGATGTGAAAATGCGAATAAATAAAAACCACTAGTTATCTTACCTTAGACTAGCCTATAAGTACGAGTGAAAGTGATTAGAGTAAAGACACACACAAACAGAGCATAGGTATCAAAGTGCAGTCCAGAAGACTAAATAATAATTATACAGATCATAAAAGAAACTCTACACTGGTGGATGTCTATTAGAACCACCGTGAAGTCCTCGTGACCCACCAACACGAACTTCTATCTAGAACCTCGAGGGGCGTAAAACAGAAAGTGTGAATGGGCAAAAACAAAACTTTCAAAGCCATTTATCTTTTCAAATGTAATAACCCCTCGCTGTATAAGTTTCCTAGAAAATAATACTGTAAGCATATATGAAAACTATACTTAAGAAGAACCAAACCATGTGTATGCCATGACAATTATCTCAACCATGAATAAGTAAGCTAGGTGAATTGCACTAAAATAAAGTGACATATTAGCTAGAGTCACCTGACGTGACCTGTACGGCTGAATCAATAATTCAACAATCAAATCAAATCATGCACACGAGTCGGAACCACCTATGTGGTCAGTGCGACATGTTAGGTGTAAATAAGTATGCTCAAGTGCTACCATCACATGAAGGCTGTGCGAAGTATCGCAAGTCACCTACTAGTCGGAACCACCTAATGTGGTCTGTACAACATGCTGGATCCAAGGTACTCGTATAGTGCGGGAGGCGAACGATCACGTGAAGGCTAGGCCCTACTCTCGGGCGGAGCACTAACACCGAGGTGCAAGATATAAATCACTGAAATCAACTCATCATAATCATACACACTTCCATCACAACCATCACTATATACTCACCTGAAACTTACCTGACCGTCCACGGTGTCGAGCAGTAATATGCATAGCTATATTATAACATATACTAATAAGTAATGCATACGACATGGTATTTAAAATGTAAACCATTTAAACAGTTTCTGGGAAACATAAGGCATATATATGTATATATAAAAAACCAAAAAGTCCACTCATTGGTATGTAGCCGGGTCATAATCCATAATTCTCGCCTTGCTGCTCTCGTCCTCTGGAAACGTCTCACCCATATGTGAAACAACTAATTTAATGTTATTTTAAAGCACATAACCATCACTATGAAATAACTTCTCATACGTTGCTCAATTGGGGTGTTTGAATATACTATCGTGGCCTACTCAACACCACGAGCATTCCCATATTTTTAGAAAAAAAATTTCAACATCCTACATGCCTTCACGCGCTGGCCAAGGCACTGCCACACGAGCGGCCATGCGCCTGGCACGATGCACAGAATCCCTAACGGCGTTAGGGAATATTTCATTAAATAACAACATATTTTGTCTAAAAACTAACCGTATTACCTTACGCCGTTAGCATATTCCGTCAAATTTGATGGAATATTCCTCTTCTTCTCTAATGGTTCACCAGACTCCGGCGCTGGCCGCCGATGCACTCGTCGGTTTCTGGAAAAACTTGAAATCTTAATATCTTCGTCGTTTTAACACCAAATTTCATGAAATTGGTACCAAATTGAAGCTCTCAACTAGAAGAACATGATCTTACCTGTTTAAAAGCCTAAAATCGACAGAACATGGTCAAAAAATCCTTTGACAGTCCAGCCAAATCTGCAACTTCCCAAACCCATGTATCTTGACGTCCAAACTACTCCAAAATCGTTCTAAAGACTAGGGAAGTTGTTTGAGAACTACCACGAGTCTTAAATCCTTAAGCAGATCCCACGATCACGTCGAAGTAGTTTAACTCCTTGCCGGAGTTTAAGGATTCTCAGGTTCCCGAGGTCTTTTCCCCAAACTACTGTTATGACTGTGTTCCTCAGCTTGCAAGGAACCCAGAAGTAGTCTCCATTAGCTCGATCTGTGCACGATGAGACTAGTTGGGTGTGTGGGTGTACGGACTGTACGTACGGGGAAGAATCGAGAGAAAGGGTGAGTGCAGGTACGTGAGGGTGAATGTCTGTGTGTGTGTGGTCCGGGTTGGGTGATAATAAAAAAAAAATATAGCGCCTTAATTTGGGCCATAAAATTTAAGGCTAACAATTTAATCCAAACAAACCCAATTTTCCACTACAACTAACAAGGCCCTTAATTCACGTCGGCATTCTCGCGGCGTCAAATATAATTTGATTTCGTCCACAGAAAAATGATTCACAAATTATCTATGTACATCACGTCACAAGACCCACGAGGGCAAAATCATCATTTCCACGCGTTCAAGGATAAAATATATTTTAATTTGGGACAGGTCGTCACAATTATTGTTGATATGGACTTTTTGACAACCCAGAATTAAAACTAATAAAAAATCGATTTTTATTTTTTTTATTATCACAAAAGTTCATGAAATTGACCCTTAACATCAACATGGTCCCTGAAATTGAAAATGAATCAATGTAGTCCCAAAAAATAGGTATCGCAAATCAATGTAGTCATTCCGTCATAATTCTGTTAAAAAATCTGTTAAGTGCTGATGTGGCACATAAATGGGCCCCATAAGTCATATTTTCTCACAAATGGTCCTTGAAATTAATCCATGACATCAAAATGGTCCATGAAATTGAAAATTGATCAATGTAGTCCCTCAAGTAAGTGTCTTAAATCAATGTAGTAATTTCGTCACAATTCTGTCAAAAATTCTGTTATGTGCTGATATGACATATAAATCGGTCACACAAGTCTAACTAAATTTAAAAAAAAAAAATTACAAATAGGCTTAATAATTTAATAGTTAATAAAAAAATTGTCTACCCAAAAACATTCCAATCCACATTTCTATACCTCCTTCGCTCTCTATTCTCTAAAAAAGAAAAAAAAAATCTCAATACACCCATCTTTACACACTTCAACACTCTCCACTGAATTGAATTTAGATCGAGATCACCTTTGGTGACGGCTTGGCCCATTGGCAACGACTTCTGGGACATCACCGTTAACATTTAGGTGATAAACATCCTCACAACCTTAATCTTGGAGAGCTTGTTCGGCGCTTTCTTGGTGGTCTGGTGATGCAAAGAACGATGAGGTCTGCCTTGAGATAATGAAGTTATAACTGAGGTGCGTCCATTGGTGGTTGTAAACTATTTCCACACCTCCTCTTAAGCCTTGGTTAAGCCTGGTGCCCTTGAGAATTTATGGAAGGGAACTCTCTTAGGAGTAGGCCCTACTATAAAGAAAAAAAAAATCCATTGTGCAAAAAGGTATTTAGACAATTTTTTAATTAATTATTAAACCCACATCAGCACATAACAAATGTTTTTTAAAAATTGTCACGGAAGGATCATATTGATTGGCGACACCTATTTTCAATGACTACATTGATTGATTTTCAATTTCAGAGACCATATTGTGATTAAAACCCGTAAATCTTGTGGGGCCCATTTTTGCCACATCAGCACTCAATGGAATTTTTAACATAATTGTGATGGAAGGTCCACATTGATTTGTGACACCTATTTTCAAGGACTACATTGATTGATTTTTAATTTCAGGGATCATCTTGATGGTGAGGGTTAATTTAAGGACTATTTGTGATAAAAACCCTAAAAAATAAATTTGACGTTGATGTCAAATTTGACTCATAAATCACAAAGGCTTCAATTCCAGTCTACAAATAACACTTCGGTTAGAAGTTTTTTAATATCAAGTGTGCACAATGACATCTCCGCCTAAAATTTAATATCTCCTTTGAAGATGCTTAGAGGTCCAACTGTTGAACACCAAACACATATTTGCTGATTGCTGACCCAACCCTACTACTATATATAGCTGGTTTTACCTTCAGCATATCTTCACCAAACCATTTGTAGTGACTAGCTCCAATCTTGCAATTTCTGTAATTTTTGCCCATATATCTCTATAGCTCCAATCTAGTAATTTTTGCCTAATATATATATTTTTCTCTATCTTTCCCAAGGCAAGACGTTGATTAAGTATTATGTTCAACTATATGTTAATTATTATTTTAGGTTGATTAATGTCCTTGTGTTCTAATTTGCATGTTAGGGTTTTCGACAGGTGGGAGGTTTTCAGATCGATATTAAAAGGAGAGACACAAAGATGAGCAGACGAGGAAGTAGTGGTCCAAGGCTTGAATTGAAACTGAACCTATCTCCTCCGAGGGCTAACTCATCGTCACCAGGCGACTCCCCAGCTGCCTCCGAGACATCCTCGGACATGTCAATCGATCACAGCTCATGCGTGTCATCGGAGCCTGATGATCAGATGATGCATTACCTGAGTAGGCCCGAAGCCAAGGCGATGGTGCTCGCAGGGTGTCCTCGGTGCCTCATGTATGTCATGCTATCTGAAGTGGATCCAAAGTGCCCAAAATGCAAAAGCTCTGTCTTGCTCGATTTCTTTAGCGAAGAAAGCAGCAAAAGGAGATGAATATAGATCAGAATATGGCTTGCTTTTCTTGTTTTCACATGGAGCAAGTAAATTCCAATATATTTGTTAGGCTTTTGTGTTCCTGCTGAGGTTTTGGGTGTTCGGGTTAAGCCTTTTTATTCTTCCTAAAGGAAAATTTTATATTATATTTGCCCGAGTTGATTGCCTTTAGGTTCAAGTAGCTTTTAGAGTTTGTTAGGTTGTTTATTGTAAGAATATTGTGGAACTTTCATTTTCTATCTACTTTTCTTCTTCTATGTGAATGCATCCTAATTAAATCTTGTGCTTTGTTGCTTCCTTTGAAGAACTGATGAAGGTGCATCATAGAGTCAGCCATCTGGAGTTAGCTTGATCTAGCGATTTTCTATTTGGAAATTGCTTTTCTAGAAGACTTTTTGTTTAGAAGCACGTCGATGTTTTTGAGAAAACCAAATTTTTTTTCGAGGTCTGAATCAAACCAAGTTTTTAACAAACCCTACTCATGTGGTCAAGTCCGTTAGCAATCTTAGACTGAATCAAAATTTTTGTCAAAACGCCATTCAGATGCATGGGTAAATAGTCAATATATTCCATCCATTGTTAAAGAAAACAAAAAAAAAAAAAAAAAAAATGCACATTCCCATCTCAGGCACGAGTCGTACGACACCTACCGCCTCCCGCCCTCCAAGCCTCTTCCTTTCCTAGCCACGCCACTCACAGCTCCTTCTCCATCTAACTCCTCAAATATCCCCAACTCCAACAATACATAAAGCAATTTCTCTCTCTCGGCATTTTCTTCCACCTCCATCTCACACAATAGTTTCGAGGCATCAACCGCATCGTTTAAATCAAATTTTTTTTCGAGGTCTGAATCAAACCCTAATCATGTGGTCAAGTCCATTAGCAATCTAAGTCTGAATCAAATTTTTTGTCAAAAAGCCATTCAGATGCATGAGTAAATAGTCAATATATTCCATCCATTGTTAAAGAAAACAAAAAAAATAAAAAACGCACATCCCCATCTCAGGCACGAGTCGCACGACACATACTACCTCCCGCCCTCCAAGCCTCTTCCTTTCCCAGCCACGCCACTCACAGCTCCTCCATTTAACTCCTCAAATATCCCCATCTCCAACAATACATAAAGCAATTTCTCTCTCTTGGCATTTTCTTCCACCTCCATCTCACACAATAGCTTCGAGGCATCAACCGCCTCGTTTACATTCCTGGGATGAATAACGAAGGCCTTGGAGACCTTAATTTCATAGATGATGTTGAACAGTTACTTGAGATTGACCATGCTATATAATGCGAGAGAAGTCTTCGAAGAGGTTAATGGCTACCGTTGTTGTTGCACCAGGGGGCGTTAAGGGTGTGCAAAAGATGAGCGGCAGAGGGTCCTGAATTTTATGGAGGCCCCAAAAATTTTTGATCCTCCTATATATTACGTATGAGTATAAATTTTCTAATAAAAAAATTTTTGATTGGAAAGAAAAATCATCATCATATGATTTTATCTATATTACAATTGATTAAGTGGAGCTTATACTTAACATATTAATTTTTCATTTTCTCTAGCAATAAAAAAACTTGTGTATTACTTTCTTCCACTTTACTAACTTATTTATTACTTTCTTCGACAACACAAGCCTATTTCCGCATCTCTCTTTTAGTCGTGCTCCATGCTTTCATGGATGAACCCTAAATCATAATTTCATAGCAATTGAAGATTATTCATTAGTAAGAGTGAGATGTTGATTTCAATTAATTTTGAATATTGATTGTTGAATTCTGTATGAATATATTGTCCAAAAAACTGTTTTTTTTTTTTTTTTTTAAATTCATCTAATTCGCACAGAGCCCCCAAAATGTCAGAGACGGTCCTGTGTTTGACTTGAGGAGGTTGATTGGTAGAGACAACAAATAGGATTGAAGGACATATTTGTCTTAAATCTTTAACGGATATTCAACGGAAAAATGAAACAAAATTGCAAATTGGATCAGTATTGCTAACAGACTTGACCACATGGTTATGGTTAATAGTTTTTTTCATCACAAGAGCTATATTAAAATTAGGGTCTCACCACCACAAGTAACACGAAAAAAAGTTAGCCCTTTAATAAAAACCAAATGCATGCTCCATTAAAGTTCTTGAAGTTCTTCCTACACTTAAAAATACTTTTAACTTTTTGGTCAAGCGTTGTCATAAACGTTTTGAATTATATGAAAGCGTGTTTAGCCATTTTAAAAATAATTTTAAACAGGTAAAAATTCTCGTTCCAAATTAAGAACCATAAAGGAATAGAGGATGGATATAGAATCCTACCTTCTCTTTTTTATTATCTTGATTGGTGAATCTACCTTAATATCATAAATAATTTTCATAAATATGGGAAGAAAAGAAGGTTAAGACAGGAGTGGATTTTAAAGAGAGTAAAGGATCCTTAACATGATGTGCAGAAACACATCAAGCGGCCTAATGGTAAGGGTGCAGATTGCGGCTCTTCAATAAATAAAAAAAATGTGAGAGATTTTGGATTCGTTGCTTCAAGTTGTGAGTTTGTTTGAATGTGGCTACGGATAAGGTGAAATTCCCCATAACTTCTCCAAATCTAAAAAGGGTTGATTGAGTTTGACAACCGGTTGTCCCCCTTTTAAAAGAGAAAAAAAATGTAAAAGAATATAATCAACTGTTGGCACCACAGTATATTAAAACGTATGGTTTCAGAATGTCGTACAACGGTGTAATATATCTGACTTGTTATCTTGTATGTTAAGTTTCTTGACTTACATGATCTTGATTTGCAAGAAATTAAAGAAAAGTGAAATTAAAACCATGAAGACGAAGATTCAACGTTCACGGCACTCTGTCATTTAATATTACGGTCTAGTAATATTTTTCTTTACTTGTAAGTGAGAGATTTTAAGCTTGATTCTTGTCAAAAATGAAGTTAAATCACATTATTACGGCAAGCCTATTGTAAGGTTTAGCTCCATTTTCTCGCTCTTTTATTGTAGATACTATCATTTTTTCAAAAAAAAAAAAAAAAAAAAACATTTTCCACCCCTTTTTTTTCATCCTAACATCTAACTGTTTAACTCACTAAAATATGGCTCTACAAAAACCACTACAGTGCCTGCTGAAATTAGTACATCATGTAATGAATTCTTATTAAATTTTCTGTGTCTGGAGTAAATAGGGCAGGGCCGCGCCATTTGAGGCACCATTTGTCTCATCAATGTCAACGCACAACCGTTGCAGTGGTAGTTGGGCAAACTTTCCTAATATAATTTCTACTTCCAGAACATAACTTCAGCTAACGTCAACTTAAAATTTGTATTTTTTAAATTCCAGAGCAACTATTTAAATTATTTAAATTAATGTCGTTAATTTACTCAATACATTGAAATTTGTCAAAAATTCTAGCTAGTTCTTTAATACAATATTTTTTTTTTTATAATACAATCTCAGCTGAAAACGGTCCCCTTTCCCTTTTAAGGAGGGTTTCTCTCAAATAACTTTTTGGAACATGTTCTGAATTTTATTTCAAAAATCTAAGTCGTCTATCTTTTTAAATCGTAGTTCAAAATCATATTTACAGAAGCTTAGACCCTTATTAAGGTATTCACTTGTAGTGAAGAAAAATAAAATGTGAAATACTTAATAGAGTGGTTAAATAGTTATGAATTTGAGTGATTTTTTTTTTCAAAGATGACTTTTGAAAAAATAAAATAATGAGTTCAAATCTTCTGCACTCATTTTGTGTATGGCCTATCTGTGACCTCTATCATCATCGACACGTGTTAATAAATTTAACCTTCTTTAACTTTCAATCAATGATACATGCAGACTTGGCATTCGTGTCATGTTTCTCGTTTTCGTGTCATACTCGATAGCTTAATGGGTTGTGCCGTGTAATACCCGTTAAAGTAAATGGGTAATATGACCCGACCCGAAATCGACCTGTTAATATTATCGCGTAATATGACCTGACCTGTTACCCGTTAAGAAAAATATATTTTAAATCAATAAATAATGAAAATGAAAAACATAATTTGACCCCAAAAAAATGTAAAACATAATAACTAATTAGTATATTCATACTAAATTTTGGAGTTGACCCCTTAATGAAAGTTGTAAAGCTTATCATTATGAGTGATTATATATTTTTACATTTTTCACACTTCTACAATAATTATTATTAATTTTGCACTCAAATGAAAAACACTGTTCATGAGATTTTGAGGAATTATACCTAAGTTTTGTTTATGTGCTATCGAATTAACGTTAAATTAGTTATTTTGCATATATATAGGTGAAACGTACCCTGAGGACGAGCGTGGTCAGGCGAGACTTGGGGGCTACGATCTTGCTAATTACCAGTGAGTGGACTTTTGTTTTCTATATATGTATATATGCTTACGATTCCCAGAAACTGTTTTAAATGAACGTATGTTTTAAATGCCATGTCATGTGTGCATTACGTGTTAGTATTGCATTAGTATAGTTATGCATAGTCTCGGATGAGGCCACGGAGGCCCATGTAAGCTTCATGTGAGTACATCATGATGGTATTAGTTGTATTGTGTATGGTTATACGCTGATGCATTTTGAGCTCATTATCCTGCACCTCGGTGTTAGTACTCCTGCCCGTGGCCAGGGCACAGTCCTTCATGTGATGTTCACCTCCCACACCGCACGCTCACCTTGGATCTAAATTTGGTGCATAACCCTGTCATACAAACCACAATAGGTGGTTCCGACTAGTAGGTGACCCGCGATTATTCGCACAACCTTCATGTGATCGTAGAATTCGAGCGTACTTATTTACACCTAGCCCTGTCGCACAGACCACAATAGGTGGTTTCGACTCGTGTACATGCATACCTGATGAGCTATAGATTCAACTGTACAGGTCACATTAGGTGACTCCGGCTGGCATACTATTCTACATTGATTTGTATCACCTGACTTGCACATTTTATTGTTAAACATCTTGACATGGCATACCTCTGTTTTCACTGCTTCTAAGCATTGTTTTTATATACTTACATGTTATTATTTTCTGGGAAATTATACGGGTTTTACAATGAGGGGTTAGTATGTTCATAAGGACAACTGTGTTTTCAAAAGCTTTGTTTTTGCCCACTCACATTTTTTGTTTTGTGCCCCCTCTAGGTTCTAGGTAGCTGATCATCCTTGGTGGCTCACGAGGACTTCACGGTGGTTCTGACATCTCCATAAATAAGTGTAGGGATTCTCTCCATGTTTTGTATAATTAGCACTTGGTTTGACTGCACT